GGAAGGGCTGAGCTGAGCATCGAAGTGATGCAATCTTGTATGAGTGTTTCACGCTCCTGATGCTCTTATGGGCGCAATGACCGCAGTCAAATCCGCCGTCAGATGCTATAAATGACCTACATGTGTAAACTTGTGTCCGTGACCAAGGACCTTTTAGCTCAAATCTGTATCTTCGCAAATGCGAACTGTGTTCAACTTGTTCCAACTAATTCGAAACACTGTTCTTCTCCTTACTTGGTTCACTTTCCTCAACATGGTAAGAGCTTCACCAGTACTCTTTGAAAATTAAACTTTCTCATCGGAAAAACGAAAACCCGGGGACTTCCCATTCCTATACCCTTGTCTTTCCATTGCATCATCCGATGCACTGCCGCTGCACACATTTGGAAAGATATAGTTGCTTGGCTGACCCCCTCTTGACTGGGACGACAAGGGGCGATGAGGCTGTATTGTTTTCGAAATTTCTATAGCAAATGGCCAATGTTCCCGCGTTGGAGGATCTCCTCCCTTTTTTTCAACCAGGTTGACATCGCATAAATTATGACTCTTGGGCATAAAACTTGACGTCGGACTTCCAAGAGTCAAGGGAGAGGTCGGTACTGAGACAAACTTCTATGACTCTCACATCGTCTGGGCGTTTTTTGTGCAGCAGAATTATCGCAAAACCCATCTTATTCATGCGGTTGGGCCATCCTTGTTATTCGATGAGAATGGCCTTTGTATGACACTCGCCAAGCATGTTATACTGCAATTTCGGAAGCATTCCCACTCAAGGTCCGGCACGAGTGCGTTTCTGCGTTTTCTGAAAACAAAGTCTCCCTTGACTTTTGGAAGTTTTACGAAGTCCCCTTTGACCTACCTGTTTAGGAGAAGATGAAAACAAGAAAGATTTACTAGCTTGAGAGAAAAAACGTGAGATAAGAGTGAAAATCCAATTTGGAGCTGACTAATACGCATGCACTAGTGTTTGGCATTGAAGCGCGATATTTAACAATGCGATTTATGAAGAAATTGCTGCTGAAAATGCTCTAGACTACCTAGACCGTCTGATGACCGTCCGAGACGAAGTAATTTTGGAAGAGGTAATGGTTTTATAATTAATGCACGTTTTTCCTACCTCTTCTTTGAAACGCTAGTTTTCAATCAAAAATCGTTTTTCTATAAAACCTTCTGCACTGTTGGAAAGCCCTTATCTTCTAGTTCATGATGTATGTTTTCATTTTTGGAGATCTTTGTTCAAACCGAAGTTCCGTGACTTCAGAAGTAAGGTACTCAAATATGAAACTTTTTCCTTTTCTTCGAGTTGCTCTAAATCCATGAAAAATGCTCAAATTTGTTTCAAAAGATATGCGACATAATTGAGAAGAATTGTGCTACAAAACGCTCACCGAGGCTAAATTTTTCAGAAATTGCCAAGAAGCTTTGACTCAAAGTTAACTGATTGCTGGCATCACTCCGAGCTCTATAAAATGCTTAGGTGAGAAGCATTTGCAGAACTCTCACTTCGATGTGGTAAAGTAAACCAAGGGCTACTAATATTAAGAAAACGGCAGAATCTCCTGGTTTTTCAAATGAGAAAAAGTCGGAGGATTCTGAAAAACCCAGTTTTTTTGCCCTCTCCAAATGCAGGAAAAAATGGATCTTTTGCTTTCTTGGCGAAATTTTTTTCGCTAAAGATTTTTGGTAAGATTCAAGTTCCACACTAACATTGAATCAACCATCGGCTATACAATGAACAAACTTTGCTTCATTTTAGTCCTTTTGAGAGTAAATTATGCTCTTCTAAACTTTCCAAAAAAACAGCTTTCCCAAGCAAGCTTAGAGCTTTCCAAAAAAAATTCTCGGTAGTTTTTGAGCCGAAAAATCTTCCTCATGGTGTGTACAATCACATGAAAGCATATGTTGTATAGCTAAAGGTTTGCTGTTTATAGGAGTTTTTTATGCACTCAAAAAGATTGTTTTGGAAAAAAATTATCTTGAGTAGAAGTGGAGGTTGAGAAAACGTGCATTAATTATGAACCAACCCAATACTTCACATGAGTTCTTGAATTTTTTCGCACAATTCTTTTGCAAATAATTTTCTAAGTATACAGTTCAAGTTTGGTGTCATATGATTCTGTGTGCGCTGTTAACAAGCACTTTGTTTATTTTAGCCTTGCTTTCGAATCGCGCGCACTTTTCGCCATACACGATTGAGCATGTCGATCGTGTGACCTGTCCGAAAAGCTTGTGTCGGCTAAATGGCGCTTATTCTTGGTGCTCGGCCCCGACGGTCAAAAACGATCTCCTTTGCTTTGCTCCAAAAACGAAGTCCAGCCTGCTTTCAGACAATCGGTGCCGAGCCCTGTTACCGCTTTTTGATTTGGTAATTCTCACGTGCTAATCTTCCTTTGGATGCTTTCAATAACTTTGGTCTTCCATAAGTTCTCCTGCAAAACTTTGAAGTGGTCTTTCTCTTTCCAGCAACATCGTGGTGGTCTGAGATGCGCTTCGAATTTCTCATACAGGTCGTCGGGACACACTCTCCGTAAGCTCAAATCCGGATACATTTCATTGTTTTTCAGACAATATCAAACCGCGAAAAGGCCAGGTCAAAATAAGATGCTGTGTACGAGTATCATGCCTTGAAATACCTTACAACACAAAGATTTTCAACAGTTACCCACTCATATCTTCTCCATAACTTGATGGATATGACTGCTTTGCCCTATGAGACCGCGAAAAGCAGGTGAATTCGAGGTGTCGTGTGAGTAGCCCTTGAGCTTGCGGTAAACTTATCTCAAGGCATGTTACTTGTCACATCATCTTGAATTAAACTGGCCTTTTCACGATCTTATAGTGCAAAGTTTATTTAGCAAACCTGTGAAGTCGTATCCGGATCCATGAAGCTGGACAACTTATGGGGGTTTCGAAAATCCTTGTATTGCAAGCTCAAGGGCATGGTACTCGAACACAGCATTTTGAACTAACCTAACCTTTTCACTGTCTTATGGGCAAAGTTGATATACAAAGCCTATGAAGCTGTATCCAGTTTGATGAAGTTGTGGAGAAGATAATGCTGAAAACCTTTGCGATTATATACCATATGATATATATTAAATAATGAATAAAAATGATGATGATGGTGATGATGATAATCTCTACTTTCACGCTGACAACATCCGAAACTCTATTTTTGATTTGTACGAGAAATCTGGCGAAAACCATGTTTTCAAAAATCTCTTGTTCCCTCTCTGGTTCAGCTCTTTTCACATGGTTGTTTCGTGCATTGAGTAGATCTTGCTTCTATCTATAACACACATAGTCTGTGGACAACGTCGCAAAACTTACTCCTTTCATAATGAAAGATTTTTGGTAAAAATCGTTAAAAAATACGTTCTTCTTTCCTTGTTCACTTCCAGTATTTTGGCATTGATTTTTCCAACATGGGTGATTATGGCTCAGAATAATGAACGCAATAATCCAGACAACGTTTCAGAAGATAGGAATGACAATGCGGGGTAGAATTCAAAAGACATCAAAAACTAGATTGCCTTTAACTTGCACTCCGACTTATTGTTAGTAAAAATAAAACCTTTCATTTTCATAACTAATTTTTTGGTTATCTTCTTCTTGTTAACCACTTTCAAAACATGATCGATTTGAATACAGTCACAAAGAAGAAACTAGCTTTTCCTCTTTTTCTATCATGTCGTGGATTGCCTACTCTGCTCTGGAACAAAAATCTGTAGTTCGAAATGCCGCCAAATGAACGGTATCGAATTCACTGCAGCGTTTTTATCCGCTTATTAAGCGTTTCTTCTGCTTTTACTGCCTGCTTTGCATTTTTTTCTCTGATTTGATAAACAGCCTTCACTTCTTAGGCCCTACCTTCAGAATATCGAAGGCATGCCGGCGTCTCCAGTAGAATCCGCCGTGCAGGTCTTCGAATTCACTCAACTAATATCTATAGAATCGATTAGTCGTTGTTTTTATATGGTGGAAGTTGATTAGGCATTTTTGCTTGCTGAGTCGATAGTCAAGAACCCATGCAATAGGTTTTGCTATCAGTATAATTTTCGATCACCTGCCGCTACTTTGAGTTCGAGTACTTCCCTTATCATAACATTATTCTCTTTTCGCCTAAAAGAATCAAAATCGAATCTTGACGCTGTTCAGTAGCAAAATACCTTTCTGGAAGTTGATACAACAATTTTCGAATAATCTTTATCTTCATGGTGCACTACCTAAAACTCGCACAAGTTGCATTTGAACATCAAGACCACTTTTAATTTTTTTTGACAACTCAGTTAATGCATGTGCAAGCGAAGGACGTCAGAGCAGAAGGACTGCAAGTTGTTTGACTTGTTTTTGTCGCTTAATGATCTCGCAAGAACTTGCTGAGCAACATGAAGTCAAGAAAATTCTGCTTCGTTTATAGGCTGAGCTTTCGGAAATAATCAAAGGTAATGTGTATTAGGGTGAAAAGACCTAAGGAGCAATTCAGAAGGCTTTCAAACAGTTACGATAGCACGACTGGAAAAAGCCAACCTCGAACTCTTTAGAGGAAATTGCAGTAGATAGCAGTAGATACTTTTTGCATTCAATCATGTTTTTGATCTGGTTGCCTTTTTTTGTTTGACGCGCCTACGAGCGTATTACATGAATAGATAAATTTAATTCTTAGCGAATCAGATGTAACATAACATCAGTCAACGAAGAGGTGGTAAAAATGGATATTCGTCCCATTCTCAAAAGTTACGTTTTTGCAAAGAGAGTCATGTTAGCAACAAGAAAAATATGGCATGGTTCAGGTCACCCGTTTGAGAAGCGTTCATTGATTGACAGAAAATGTTACCAGAACGTTGTTTGGACGGAAATTTGTCGCAGATGTTTGCACGATCATCGCACGCGGAATTACTTCGCGTTCGTTTCAACGTACTTTCACGAAACGAAACGAATTTTCTTTTGGTGAATGAGAAATTACAGAGCACCTTTTCGAGTATAAATAGTGATGGGTTATGTTGGGTCAAGTGTATGTACATATGATGCACTCTGCGCTAGTTGTGCTAGTCCTAGTCACATTTATCTACGCGCAAAAGGAGGAAAACTGGGGCCCCCCACCAGGTCCTCCACCAGAGGGTTTCCCTCCGGGTCCTCCACCCGACGGCTTTGATGGTCCCCCTCCTCCTCCTCCACCCGGCGGCTTTGATGGTCCTCCTCCCCCACCCGGCGGCTTTGGTCATGGTCGTCGACCTCCTCCTCCAAGGGTAAGACAAGTCAATGTGTATACATAATCTCTTTTCAATGAAGAAAAACTTCGTAACTTCATAGATAGAACGCACATTCAGAAAGAAACTGAAAGACTCTTTGACATAAACAGCAACGTTTTGCTTCGAGTGTATAGGCTAGCGCTTTGAGGGACACTGTCTCCACGGTGCCGACATTTGTCGACAACATTTCCGAGAAATTAATTGCTATGCTTGTGATGTCGGCTTTGTGAGGCAATTAGCCGTGGAGTGCATATGTAGTATTTCGTTCACGTGCAATTGTTGTCGACGCATGTCGGTACTTCAGCTCCGCGATATGAATCCATGAGCCTATGGACACAAGGCTTTCTAACAAGGAAACCATCCCAGCTTAAGGTGGCGAAAGTAAGCCATTAAAGCTTTGATGAGCTGACAAGAAAATGGTCAGTAGTCGAAGTGGTTAATCCAGACAAGCTGCTAACCATTCGATGCAGCATTCAACGCTGATTTCGAATCTGTGCTCCACATCTGCTTAGCGCCTTTGTGAACGAAGTTATCAACGGTTTTGATGCGAAAGAATCGTACATAAAAACTGCGAAATTGAGCACATTGTTGCACTTCCAGCTTTCTTTTGGCTTTAGAAATCTGCATGTTTTGGCCCAGCATCAAGATGAACATGGCTCTGTACTGCCAAATTTGCGCTTTGTATGCACGATTTCTTAACAAAATAACGGCCTTCAACGGCTTAAAACTTCGCTCACATAGACGCTCAGATAAGGAATACGGTCTCGAAAGCAGCATTTTATGCTGCATCTAATAGTATAAAACTTATTTGGATTGGCCACTTCGATTTCTGACTATTCCCTTGTGAGTTCTCTACCTTCCATGCCTGTGATGCGGTTCTTTGGGAAAATCTATGAGCGTTCAGAAGTCTCAATTCCGCAAACATAGAGCGTCACACTCTCAAGAATTAGATGTTCAGAAACACTTTGTTTCCGGAGAATGCCAGCGTTCCTTGAAATTGGTACACTCGATGTCCTACTAGTCAAGCACTCTCAAGTTGCACTTTAAGGCCCTCACGCGCTGAACTCCAGTAACTTCACAATTTTAACCGTTCATGACTTTTTAAAAGGAACTGTAGCAGATATGGAAGTCAGATTTGGAAGCAGCTCATGAGGACGCATCTGATGATTTGCGGTTTATTCCAGTTTGCCATCTTGAGTTGGGGATCGCCTTCATGTCGTATGAACTATAGCCAAAAATAATATGAATACCTTCAGGATATTCCTCCGGAATTTGTACGCGTGTTGCCCGCCGACGTAGTGCAGAAGTTAAGAGGTGTACATAAGAACCAAGCTCTAACGCATGAGGTAAGTGGAAAACGAGATCGACATTTTGTATGAACTCGAAGAAGAGGTGTTATTTAGAATGCGGAAAAGTACTGTCCCTTTGGGTTGCCCCCTAAAACATCTCACAGTTAAAAGAAACCTATAGTCTTTTCATCTATTTCAATGAAGGCAAACATGATCATCGTTGTTGTGCCGCAGCACTAGTGTACGGTGTTATGCCTGGAGAATACTACCAGCAGTGGTACATACAACATTTAAATCGAAGTATAGGGCATTCGAAAAATTGTGACGATGACGCGACCGCGCGCGACATTCACGCACCTTCCGGCAACCGCGTTTTCTTGGTTTTGATTCGTACTCGAGGTTTTTCCGCTTAGGTATGCTAGGTTTGAACTCTGGAAGTGAGTGAGCTGGGCGTTCAGGTGATGCCTTTTTGTATGAGGGGTGTTATGTTCCTGTGGGCGCAAAGACCGCAGTAAAATCCATCGTCACGATTTTATAAATAAAAAAGATTAGTATGCAGCGCTACTCCAATTCTACACTTGTTATAGATTAGGAAGTTCTAATTTTGACTGAACAAATCATAGCGCGAGTGGCAAAGATTTTCGAAGATGTTTATGATTTTCTATTGCGTAATGAGTTAAGTCCAAACTCTGGTTAATCTAAGATTTCAGAAAAAATAACAGAAAGACTGGAGAGAACATTGGGCTCTATCTACACCATGATTCTGTCAGTAAACGATTGTACGTATCTAGTTTCTGGCACGTTTTCTGATCGCACCCGATTGCGCCGCAGCAAATTTTTCGGTAAAGAACTCACAACTCTGCTTTTAATGCAAATGCGGACTCGTTCTAGGACATTTCGAAGTCACTTCTGCCTTTCTTAAGCAGAAGAAGATTCCTTGAATTTTCGTTGGAAGCAAGAAATGTTGCGAAGTACATAAACGTAAAAAAGAGTGACAAAAATTAATATGACATACATTTGATTAGGGATTCGCCGCCAGGTAGAATTTCAGAGTTTGCATTTTTGTAGAACGTTAAATGTATTCTCATCTTCGGGCTCATGTCAAATTTAGCACCAAAAATCACGACGTTTTTTTGCTTTATTTCAAAGGACAGTACTCTCTTCACACTGTATAATATTGTGATCATATAAGAAATTCTCTAGCAACGAATGGAACAAATGGATCGAATCCTGCATTCGCTGCCTGACGCAATACTTGATAAAATTCCCCTGCCTCCCGGTTTCGATAAACTACCGCAAAAGACAAGAGACGAGCTGCGAAAGATCCATCGCGATAGGGTACATTGCACTCGCTTACATATGATACCTCTATACATAGCTTGGTGATTTCAGAGCCTCACTCACCGTCAGCGTTTCCAGAAAATGAAGCAGATAATCAACGCGCTTCCTCCAGAGCTTCGTCCACGACGACCACCTCCTCCTCCACCACCACCACAGTTTTCGTCATAGAAGCTGAGATAGTCAGCACCACATTGAATACGGAATTCGCTAATAAATAATGATGTACTAAATCATGGTGTGCCGTCATCAGAGCATGTTGTCGCGGGCTTTTCATACATTATCATGTTGCTAAAAATATTTGAAAATATGATGAGAAAAGATGCTTTGTTTGGAAAAACGCTCATAACAAAAGATTGTTTCGCAGACAGCGAAGGCAAATTTGAATTAGAGCCTCGAGATAAATCCTACAGTGTACATATTCTAACGAATGGCTACTATCACTAAGTATTCTTCCCCTTAAGCTTAAAATTCGAGTAGTATTCGAATTCGACTAGGAACAATTATTAGAATTCGTATTCGCATAAAAAAATTAGTCGAATTCGTTGCAAGAGCCACATCGGCCGAGCACGGTATGCCAGCAAGTTTCACATGTGGTCGTTCTGGATCTGGATATTATCGAATAAATCTTCCAATATTTATGTACGCTAGTGGTCTCTCCGAATGTCTAATTCAAATAAATCATTAGGTTTATTCGAAATTTGACCTTCAGTGCTCGAATATAATCTATACTTGTTCATTAATTTTGATTTTTCTAGTCGATATTCGTACATTCGACATTCATATTTTCGAGTATTATCCGACATGCATCAATTCAATATTATTACATTTCAAGTTTAGGCGATATTACTAACTCGATGAAAAATCACGATGTATAGTACGTAGACGACAATGCTGGGAGTGGATCTGGTCATTGGTCCTTCTTTCCAAATGGGAAATCCCACTCAAATAACCATCAAACTGTAGAACCAAGACTTAGAAGTCTAAGCCTAGGCCTAAGCTCAAATAAGCATGAGCCTAGCTCTCAGCCTTAGCCTAAGCAAAAGCTTAGCTCTTCAAATGACCGCCAAACTATAAAATCGAAAGCTAGAAGTCTAAGCCTAAACACTTCAAAAAACAAAACTATAAAATTAAGAGCCAGAAGCCTAAGCCTAATTGTAAGCCTAAAGCATGAGCCTAAGCTTAGGCTCTGGTTAAGCCTCAGCCTAAGCCAAAATCAATTTGTCTCATTTTTTTGTCATTCGGTAGCACACTTTGGTCCGAATCGAATAAAAATTCGACTTTTCGAATAAAACATACGAATATATCACCATTCAAAATTTAAGACTTAGAGTTTTTTTCATTTTCGAAGAAAATTCGATAACTCGACTAATCAAAAACGGGTTTCGAAATTCTCGAATTATTGAACCAAGAATTAGAACAAATATTAATCGAATGTTTTAGTTCTAATATTCATTTCGCTTTCGAGCGAAACAAATTATCATTAATCAAATTCGTAGCAAGAGCCACATCGACCGAACCGGGTATGCCAGCATCTGGATATGGTTGTTCTGGATATTCAAGTGAATCATTTGTATGTTTATGTATTCGACTGGTTTCAAATGTCTAAATCAAATAAATCATTCGAGTATCTTTTCAATATCCGACCATCAATGTTCGAATATAATCGATATTCGTTTCTTTTCGACTTTCGAATTTTATTCGTTTTTTGTTTATTCGAGATTTTTAGAATTCAAAAACTTTTGAATTGAGTCGATACTCGTTCATTCGACTTTTTTTATTGTTTCGAGTATTATTTCAGCAGCATTTGCCTAAAATTTTTGATCTTCAAACTCGAAATTCATTCATTCGATGTAAAATTTCGAGTTTCCCTAAGTAAATAGAGGGACCATGCTGGGGGAAAGGGGGGAGGGGAGGGAGGGAGCAGACTTGTGTCCGGCTGTCGTCTGGCACACTTGTTGCTCGACCCTGTTGCATTGTTTGAAATACAATTCAAAGGATTCTGATGGTGACTCTATTCAAACGGAAAACCTTTTGATGACGTCGTTTGCACGTAGATAAGATGTCCAGATTCTTTAGGTCACGACGCAGTCACCTCTATTACTAATGAAAAGATTTGAATAATCGATATGTGATAGTAGAGGTTTGGAACGTCTTCTCAGAAAAAAAATCGTGACTAGATAACAGCTATTTATTATGCTGCGTATTTGCATGACAAAAATTATTATTCTACCTAAAACTAGTCTGTTTCTTCACTTCCTGCTAGTTCTAGTAAAAGCTTATAGGATAAGTGCTAGTTTAGATGGATTCGACTTTCAGAAAGCTCAGATTACTGCTCATAATGCATAAACAAGCGTTACCAATTTTGTTAGGAAAATCACAGCGGATTTCTGAAGCATAAGCCGTCGCTAGACATCCCCATTCGGATTACGGTACGCGTCAGCCCGAGCCCCTTGATGTGAGGACTGGAGCTGGACTCGGCCCCTATTTGTAGAGCAATTCCGGTAGCTGTCATCGAACCGCAACTATATTCAGACTGTATTCACCGGAACTCTCATCGTGAGTGTTAAGTGGTCATACTGGCCGCACACGACCACTCTCGATGGACTGGTGGTCGGCGCGGTCATTTGGCTCAGCGAGTTATTGATGCCGATGTTTGCTTGTTCACACCACTTAGCACCCACACCTCTCGTATGGAATGTAGCATATGCACGGTTGAGAGAGCGCAGCCAACAACGGAGACCGGCCAGTGAAAGATGTTTTTGAGCGGGTCGAGATGGTACACGACTCACAAACACACGGACACCTATATATGCGCTCGGACGACTTCGCTCGACAACTTTGCTCCGCCAGCAGCAATATGAGAACTGTCGCAGCTGTTCTAGCTGTCGTCTGCTACGTGTACGCTCAACAAGCACCATTTGTGCTTCCAAGACTTCCGAAGGTAAGTTTGTTGAGGATAAATCGAAGCGGCGACTTGTGAATTGATGTATATTGCATACGTAATTTCTGGCCGGAGAGCTCAAATTTGTTTTTCGAATCTGCTGAGCGATTATTCTAGAAGAGAATGGAGGGTTGTGGCAGTCTGCAAACCTCTCAATAGTCAAATTGCCGCCAATTCTCACTCACGTTTTGCTATTTTTTGCAGTGTATAGTGCCTCCAGATTCACATAAGCTGCGCTCTCTTCTGCAATATTCCTTATAAATCCCAAGAAATGTCATTCAGCACAGTGCAAAGGTATAGGCAATATGTTTTTACAAACCTCCAGTGCGATTTTGTATCTTCCCTCTTTGAAATTTTTGCTGAACATTTTTATTGTTGATAAAATGGTGGCTGATCAGTATCCACACCAACGGAAATGGAACTCTACTATATAAGCATAATTTGGATTTACAGTAGTATTCTAGGAACTTCCACCAGGTTTCGAAGAAGTTCTGCCACAAGAAGTAATAGCTCAACTTCGTGCTGTCCATGAGAATAATCAAATGACCGCAGAACAACAGCATGAGGCGATCGACCGTATCATGACAACTCTGCCTGAGGAAGTAATCCAAAGGCTGCCGCAACCGCCTGGCTTTGAAAACCTTCCACAAAACATTCGCGAACAGCTCAAAGCCATTCATCATGACAGGGTGAGTTTTTTCTTTATCGCTATCGAGCCCTGAATAGCGACGTATTCTAGTCGCTAAATTGGCGCCAACGTGGTGACAAGATCAGAGCATTGCTCGAATCACTGCCGCCAAACCTTCGCCCGATGCCAATGCAACCGACACCATTCAAGGGAGGCAAGTTTCTTGCAAGGACTCGTGTATATTCACTGCTTCAAATAGTTACGTTTTAGCCAGAGCATTTCATCAGCCCAACTTCGCCGTCTAACGGTGTGCCGCCACTAACAGCAACAGCATTATCATTCTGCTTGGGGATTGTATTTTTAAATAAATTCGCATGATAATAATCTACAAAAATAAGAGTACCCGAACTGGAGGTTGGGGAGAACCTGTGTGTCTCAATAAAAGTCCCACCAATGCTGTATTGTGATTCCTTTTGTACCTTGCAGCAACTTTACTACTCGGGGAATTTTTGAAAAATTTATTTTCTATCGTTTGGTGCTGCGAATTAACGACGAGTTCCATCTTCAAAGAAGATGCCTCCATCGATGGCGCAGTACTTGGGGCAGATTCCCCTTTCGCCACCTCCTCCGGAATTTCCTGGTGGTCCAGGTTGTCCAGGATTTCCATCAAATCCAGGCTGGCCCGGTGGTCCAGGTGGACCTTTTGGTCCTGGTTGCCCTGAAAAAAAAAACATTGAATGAAGAAAGTACGATAATGTGTTGGCGGTCACAAACCGTTGCCTCCACCGTTTCCAGGTCGGCCATCAGGCCCAGGATTTCCAGCTGGTCCGGGTGGTCCTTGTGGTCCTGGCGCTCCGGGAGTGGGTGGAGATGTAACTGCATCCTGTCCAGGCGATCCAGGTGCTCCAGGACTTCCAGGATTTCCATCGGGTCCAGGTGGACCTTTTGGACCAGGTGGTCCAGGGTTCGCTCCAGATCCACCGTATCCAGGTGCGCCATCAGATCCGGCGTCTCCTGGTGGTCCAGGGGGTCCAGCCGGTCCGGGTGGTCCCGCTGGACATGGCTGGCATGGTGGAGGAGTTGTGGGGTTGCAGTCTCCTGTTGATCTTCCCGGATTTCCTGGCATACCCGGCGCTCCAGGTCTTCCTGGCTTTCCTGGTCGTCCTGGAGTTCCTGCACCTCCTGGTGGACCTGGATTGCAACAACCGCTGCAGCTTCCACCACCACTACCACCTCCCCCTCCTGCTCCTCCACCTCCTCCTCCTGCGCCACCACCTCCACCGCCTTGACCGCCTCCACCACCTCCTACAGCTTCGTCATAACCAGCTTGACGAGCAGTTCTGTTTCCTGTGGGGAGTCCCTTCAAATGCGTCACCTCACCCCAGATGTCATTGGCAGAACTCTGCAAAAAGTTGTTGAAAACGAAACATTGAGTATTTTGCAACAATTATACTACCTTGCAGAATCGGATTTCGCTCTTCACCGAATGCTTCACATGGCTCACGTAGTTGTAGACCAACGGAAGTGTGATGCATACTGAGAGTACTGCAACTACCGAGAAGGTTACAGCCGAATAGGCAACGAAGCGATAGGCTTTGAGACGATGATCTGAATCCATTGCTGGACTGACGATGTTCTCGTTTGCCTTGTCCGGCTTATATATAGTGCCTTGGGTGACATTTGACCTTGTAGCTGTGCATTCAGTCGCACTTGGTCACGCCGGCTTTTCGATTTCTTCGCACACTGTCTCTCCGCTAGCTACGCAATGTTTTCCTGATAGTTTATCGCTACTATTTGTTCAGTACTTCTTATCGATATACCGCACGTGTCGATAGCATTTCGATTCTACGAGCAAATTGCAAGGAGTTTTGGCAAGTGAAAGTGCCCAATCATCGAATAGCGTGTAACTTATAGAAATGCGACACAAAGCGGAACAGAAATTGGAGCAGACGATTTGCACTAAGGAAAAAGGTGTACCTAAGAAGCCGAAAACTTCGGAAAATCGTTACACCAAGCTAGCATTATCAACTCAAAAGCAAGTTTTCTAAGCCCTTAAATTGCCGAAGCATTAGCAGATAGAAAATCACACTGATAGATATGGAGAACTGTTAAGAAGAAATAGAATTACAAGTTTAGATAACAGCTTAAAATCTTGGAGATGAGCATAGTATTCCACTCGATTCCAGCAAGCACCTTCAAACTTGGCGGTTGTCAATTTATTGACTTGCTTAATCGGTACACTTTGTCTGACACTTTGAAAGGGTTTTTGTAGCAATTTTATCAACGTTTTTTGTCTTTACCTTCCTGAGAAGAGACGCGATCCACGCGACACGCTTGCTCCCGAAGAAAACCTACAGCAGTTGAAGTGACGAAATTCAACCCTTATCTCATCTTTAAAAAAAAGGCGGTTTTAACACTGCTTCTTCACTATACAAAGTATTCCAAGATGTGCACAGTTCATAAACCTTCGGTCTATAGTCATTTGAAGGAAATACAGTACCAGTTTGAGGGGCTTACTTCGCTTAGGCTGCGTCCATATTGATCCGAAAGTACGGGAACAGTCCTAGCACAGTGCTCAACTGGGGGCTATGCGGGAAATGTTCTCGAACTTCCCAATCAGTATGAGCGCAGCTTAGATACACGTTATGAAAAAGAATCATATATCATAATCTTCATTGTTCTACGGAACATTATTGAATCTTTACCACAGTGGCTTCACTACATATCATCCGCTGTTAATCTCTTTTAGAAGTCGCCAGTGTAACTCCACTCTAAAAAGTGTACCCTGTGTGTCAACGTCCAAGCGTATGTATGAATTCAAACTCCAAGATGAGAAAACCGCAAAAATTGGCCCAAGTCTCCTCTCTCTAGCCCAACCTAACCGCAGTTTTATCTTCTAAGGCTAGAGTGCGCATTAATTTCAGAACCATACGGGTCCTACAACAACTGCATCTCTAGCTTGGCTCTAATTGCGTCGCGTCGTTTCAAGGCGTAGTACATGAACGAGGCTGATCGCACTGTCGTTCTTATGCCATCCAAGATAATTTTTGGGAACACAAATGAAAAGCAGATGAGAGTGAATCTCTCTTTCGGGATTCCACAGACCCTGCTTTGAAAAGTATTGGATCTCCTGATCACACCGTGTGTCAAGAACGAGTGGTACTTTTCCACAATTTTGATAGAGTGATACCGTCTTTTTTTCACGACAGATTTGAGCCTGAAGCTGCGCTCATACCGATCCGGTAGTTCCGGCACAGTACCAACACCGCTCGAATTGCGTTAGAACTGTGCTGCATGCGTTGCAGCGGCTCGCCTGGGCTTTTGAGCTGCGGGTAGCGAATTTCGAATGTTTTTAATGATCTTCATTGGAAATTCTTCTCGTTTTCGTCTCGTTCCTGTACCATGCTCCCTCTTGTGATAAAAAAAATTGCAAACTTGAAGCGAGTTTCGAGACTGAATGTCTTTACGCGTCGTGTGTTGCGTATCTGTTAAATTTTTCCTCTGCGCGTTCGTCCTCCATGTTTCTATCGGAAATCCTTCTTGTTTTTCCTCAAGCCGTGGTTCTCGACATAGCCAGTTGTCTTCAAACAAGACTGATATAAATGCTGATATGAATGTCAGGATAACAGAGATCGAGATTTTTCCTAGTGTTTTGATGAGATTGAGTTCTCGGGCGTATAAAGATCGTACTATTACTTTCGTCCGTATTTTTACTACTCTGCATAAATGAAAATACCAATGTAGCGTTGTGGGAACGTTCATTTTGAGATAATTCAAATATTAGGTTGGCACATAAGTTTTGCAACTTTTTCCGTAACTTTTCTCTTAATTTAGGTAGCAATTTCATTCTGTGGCATCATGTAGACCGTAAAGTAAGCTGCAAGTCTGCGCAAACCGCCTGATTTTTGATAACGTAGTACAAAAAATCTAAGCATTTTTTGAAAACTGCTGAAAATCGAGGCTTCACGGTTTTTTGACAAACATGAAGCCCTACGAAACCTGTATCAAACATATCAAAAAGCAAATATAGGCAGCATGTAGCTAGAAGTGGACACATTGGAATCAGTAAAATAAGAAATGAAATTTAGACACAAATTAAGGTGGGACGCTTTTGAGAAGTTGAACAAGTCAAATGCGTCAAGTTTTGAAGGCAATTTGTCAATAACTAAGCTGCGAAAAGTCAGAATTCGCTATAACTTTGCACTGTAGGGTAACCCTATACGGTAAACACAAATATCATATTCATTTGTCGCTAAAGTAAAATTCATTTTTTGATTTCACGAACAAGGCCTTTTCGTGCGAAACGGATCTCATTTTTGTGATCAGCATGTCGAATAAGTCATATAGGTCAAGTTTCAGCAAAATCTGATGCATTCTAAAATTTTTCCCCTAGTACCGTAAACCTACCGTAATCCTTACATAAGATGGTAAAATTCGGCAAAAATGTGTGCATTAGAAGCTTACATTATAATCCTTATGGTGCCAAGAAATGAATGCGCTACTTTCAAAGAGACAAAACTTATATAAAAAGTTGCATTACTTATGTGCCAACCTAATAGTATACAAAACGAGATATATACCGCCCATTCTCACCCGCTCCAAGTTTGAATGTGTTTTAATCATGAGGGGAAACGAGATACGAGAATGAGACACTGGCAAAAATCACAAAAGAGCTGAGATTAGTCAAAAATTGCGGAGGGGGGGGGGGGAACCGGGCAGTTTTTCGTAGTTAATAGATAATGAAAGTGATTCATTTCCAATATTCATTTATATAAAATCACTTTCGGTTTGTTTCCTACTCCCGCTTCTATGGCAAACCTGACCAGTGACACTTCATGCCTTTTTCCCAAAGAAGCTTACCTAGACCGTTACAGCACAGTTCTGACACAGTTTCAGCGTGTCGTCATTGTGCTAGCGAGTATGTTTCCAGCCGGATTGCCCAATCCTTATAAATATAATTCCTCGCTGACTTTCTCAAAGTAAACGTTCATAGGTCTGTTATACATGCTGATCGTTGTATGCTAATCGTTTGTGGATTATTCTGAGCAAGGGTCCAATTTCAGGAATGTTTGGATATTTTTGAATGCCGCTGTAATATAAGGATCATAATTTATTCGTATCTTCAACAGTCAACTTGAGCTTGTTCTACCTAGGCATAAGCGTATTGTACAATGGATACCAATTTTTGATGTAATAGTGTTTCCGAACAAAGTTCAAAACGATTTATAAGTGTCGAATTTTGAAATTTACAGAATCTGCAAATGAACCATTATCAAGATTCTTGACTGACTATAAATTTTTACATAATCAAGTTTCGAATCAATAAGGTTGGAACATATGTCTTGTACTGAATCAAGTATAAACCGCTATAATCCATATTTCTTCTATATCCTAGATCGAGTTGCCCTACGTGCCGCTTACAGACCGATAGTAACTATTCAAAAAGAAAGTTTATGCCCTAAGTGCCGCTTGAAGACCGTATATATAAGAAAAACCATCTACGACTCCTACAAAAAGAAAAAAACGAAATCAAGTAGTTACAGCGTTATTTTCAAATTGCCGTACATGCCACTCTTGGAATTTCAATTCTGAGAACTGCCCCAAGCGTACAAAAATCTGTATCCCTGCCCGATGCAATTGCCCTATGTGCCGCTTACACACCGATACCTAGTTGAAAGCGCCAGCGGGACCCATTACACAAGCAAAAGCAAGGCTGTTATTAGATAAACGCTTTCAAAAGTATCAGCGAGACTAAGTTACTCACGCACTATCTTGTCTACACGTGGAAAAAAGGTAATCCTAAAGTGACTGTTCTTAGTTGGAGCATTGATTTAGCTCAAGTCACGCTGGTACGCAATTTGGCATCATTTCAAAGCAACTAATAGGAGTACAACATATTTGAAAGACACATTCTGGGAAAACAAGCTCGAAAAAAAAAGCAGCTACAAATAACACACCCGGACACTGGCGACCCTTCTCAAAATCATTGCGATACTCATGATTGCCTTTCGAAATATGTGTGACCCTTCTACGAAAATTTGCTTAGTCACTCGTTATGAAATTTGGCAGCGTTCCAAAACGCATGCCACTTGTGCCGACAATGTCGGCACCCTTCTTTGCCGTATCACTTTACTCACTGCTAAGTACCGTACAGGTCATACCATAAGCATGACCTGCTGTGATTGAGTATCTCCATAGCCCAGATGCATGCATACTACCTTGTCACGCCCATTATATGCAGCATTCTACTACTGCACCCATGCAGGTCGTCTGACTCAATAAAGCTCTAAGCTTACGTCTGATATCACAGCGGAGCTACTCATTCCAAAGGCGCTATTCCGCCACATTTATGGTGCATCGGCCAAATAGGAAGGCCGACACAGTGTTTCGCTTCTAATAGCAGCACAAAAGGGATCACCACAAAATGAAGCTGATTCCTCGCCACTACATAGAAGAAATTAGATGGCACACCAACGAACTCACGAAAGTACTGCAAGAGTATGCATACCAAGGTGAGAAAACCACACTTCCAGAGGATGACGAACTGCGACGAAAAATATGCGCTTACAATCTGCGTGTATCGACAAGGATTATCAAGGAAGTCGAAGCAAATACACAGTCAT